ATCATGTATTCAATAGTCAGATGGCATCWGAAGCCAGTGACCTGGAACAGAAAAGCACAGAGGAAGACAAAAGTCTGTTCTCTGRGAAGGTCCATGCTCAGTGTGTCATTTTTCTTCCTTTTTGTTTCCAATGCTGCCTAACATTACATTCTCTGAATTAGCCTTTGGATCCTYCTTTTGCTCTACTCCAGAATCTAGAAAAAAACAGCCTTCTAACCTAGTTGCCTACATTTAAATTACTCACTCATCAAATCACACATACATTTTTTGATATTAAAGATCTCTATTCACTTTCAGCAATTGCCTGGGTGAATAGCTCTGGTATCCACATGAAATTCGATGTGATCCACCTCAATTTAAACATTTCCTATTTGAGAAGATAACWTGAGGGGTAGAGTATTTTATATACACATGTAACACCAGGGATGATAACGTTGGCTTAGAATAAAAATAATGTGCATTGTAGAGAAGAGAGTGCTATGCTGAGAACACTGGTTCTTTAAACACTGGATCCCATCTTTCATACACTAAATATATATTTTAATGCAGATGTATAGGTCTAGGAATTAATGATATGAAATATCAGACTGGGAAAGAACTGAAGGCTTTTCTTGTAGCACTGACACATCTGATCTCACTGCTGCTTTACCAAATTAGTCCTGCCTCATTTGATGACTGACCTGAACACAAAATTAGTKCAGTCTTACTGTGCCATTTCCCTGTTCTAAAGTTTCCCCTCAACAACTCCCTTGAACTGAAGCTTTATGTACACCGCTCCTGACATGTCTTTTCCTCATCCTGCTCACACGAGTATTTAATCAGGTGGCATATTGCTCATGGCCAAACAAATAGTTGGCACATTCAGTTCCTCTGTACAGACTTTGCTATTCAAGCAGAGAACATCTGTCCTGTTGGCCGTGCTCACTGGAGGTTATTGAAAGACCGGAGAGACAAGCATATGTTTTTTTATTCCAGTTTTTGGACCGCATCTTAGAATGGAAGCAAACAYTGCTCCCAGCAAACCCTGCTCACAGGCCAGTGACTGATCTGTGACATGTCCTGTGCTTGTAAACCATAAGGCATTTGAACCTCTGCTGTACTGATCCAGCACATCTTTGGATSACCTTTCATTTGATTTTGGGGAACTGCTAAACCTTCTCAAAGAAAAAAAAACAAAACAAAAAACAGTGATATACATATGAGGAAAATCTGTGCATGAAAATGCTTGGTTAAATCTGGCTGAAACTTTTCAAAGTTTTGCAAAGTGTTTAATAGCTGAAAAAGTGGTGTTCTTTGGAAGTGRATGAATAAAATAGCAGCTATAATGGATATAATGGATAATCCATTGATTTCACTGGGAACCTTTGTATGAGTCACTACACTCTTTTACAAGTACCTCTGTACCTAAGGGTTTTGAAGACTGTATATATCTACAAAGTGTTCTGCCCTACATCAGCTATTATTAAATTTATCTCAAATTTATTTGAGAAGAAGAAAAAGAACTGTACACTGTAAAGCTATTTACAATTTAAAACTTTGCAATAAACAAGTCAGCATTTTCACTAACATGATGTATTTGAAATATCCACTACAAAGGGAAATATTCTTTAATATTTCATGTGTGTTATACAGACTGCCATTGGGCAGTTATGGTCCTCTTGCTTTGCCAATTCACAAGCACAGTGACAAAGAACACCTCTTTGATCACTTTAGCCTAATTAGCTTCACTTATAGCCCTCTYCATGAGGTAATCTTCAGGTTCAGTAATACATGACCAGCAGGGGAGGGAAGGGATTCTGCCCCTCYGCTCTGCTTTGGTGAGATCCCACCTGAAGTGTTTTACYCAGCTCTGGGGTCCCAGYATAAGAAGGATATGGACCTGTCTGTGCCAGATCAGAGGCATGGAGCAGGTGGATTAGAAAAGGCTGAGAGAATTGGGATTGYYCTGCCTGAAAAAGAGAAGGCTCTGGGGTGACCTAACTGGAGCCTTTCAGTCCTRAAGGGAGCCCACAASAAAGATGGGACTTTTGACAAGAGCATGGAGTGACAGAACAAGGGGGAATAGCTTCAAACTGAAAGAAAGCAGGTTTATGTTAGACATTAGGGAAAATAATCTTTACTGTGGGAGTGGGGGGACATGAGAACAGATTGCCAAGGGAAGCTGTGGATGCCCCATCCCTAGAAGTGTTCAAGGCCAGGCTGGATGGAGCTTTGAGCAAGCTGGTCTGGTGGAAGGTGCCTCTGCCTTCCAGACAGAGACAGCCGGGAAGTGGGTTCRGAACTAGATGACCTTTAAAATCCCTTCCAACCCAATATTCTATGGTATTTATCTGCAGGGCCTATTGTGAGTATAAGAGGACGCCTTTCCTGATTTGCATCAAGAGGCTTTGGAGTTGTTATCTGGCTTTGTATGGAATAGCTGTAATCATCCCAGACGCTTAAAAASCCCTGACACTGCCACGTTTGGCGACGGTAAAATAGTTGTCACTGATTGCACACAAGAATTAAGGAAGAATTAACTTGCAGACCATTTATGGGAGTATGTGTGGACAGTGTACATTATGCAGCGATACGGTTCGGATCCCTTACGTGAAGAACTTATTAAATGAATAAATCTCATRGATGCGAAATAAAGACGGGAGGAGGGGGGAAGGAAGAAAGCAAGGCGACATAAAACCTTTGGRACCCCAAAGCCGAGGCGACAAAAGGCAGCGGCGGGCGCGGGGGGGGGCGCTGCCGGCAGGCGGCCAGTAGGGGGCGCTCGGGCTTCACCGTGAGGCGCTGCCGCCGGCCCGCGCCGGGCGGGACAACGGGGACACGGCGGGTGTGTGACCCGGGAACGGGCGGGTGACCCCGGAACGGGGTGTGTGACCCCTGAACGGGTGTGTGTGTCCCCTGAACGGCTGTATGTGCACCCCGGCTTGTGCTTGTGACACAGTACCCTTAACGAGGTATCTGTGTCCCCCTCACGGGTGTAGGTACCCCTCCCCCCGGCGTGTATATGACCCCTTTACAGGGTTTCTGTAACCCCTTTATGTGACCCCTGAATAAGGTGTCTGTCACCATTGGGGTGTGTGCGACCTCTTAACGGGGTGTCTGTGACCCATTAACGGGGTATGTGTGTTCCCTTAGTGGGTTGYCTGTGTCCCCTCATTGCATGCCTGTGCCCCCCCGGGGGTTCTGCGCCTTCTCAGCGGGGTGTCCGTGACCCCTCATTTGGTGTCTGTGACCCCTTAGGGTCGTCTGTGTCCCCATCACGGCTTGTCTGTGTCCCCTAACAGGGTGTCTGACCCCATCGCGAGGTGTCAGTGCTCCCCTCACTGGGTGTCTGTGTGTCCCTCCCGGGGTATCTCACCCACTCACGGGATATCTGAGCCCCCTGTCAGGGTCTCTGCCCCGCTCGGGCACCGGTTCCATCCCGCTTTCCTCCGCCTGGCTCCTTCCCCCGTGTCCCTCCCGTGTCGCTGCTGTGGTGCTGCGGGGTTTCTTCTGAGCGGCTGTGGGAGAGGGGCTGTTCTCCTGGGTCCTGAGGGGTGAGGCGGATCGTTCTCCCGTCTCCGTCACCGCCGCCTCCGGGGACCTCCAAACTTTCCCGCTGGCGAGAGCTRCGCCGCATCCCAGGGGCCCGAGGGAGGCTGGAGGGTCCCGGGTTCCGGCGGAGCCCGCCGATCCCGCAGGCTCTGTGGGACACGTGCGATCTTTTGTTTTGCGTTTTATTTTATTTGCCACGTTTCCTTCCCTTTCCACAGAGCGGGCCAGCAGAGAAATCCCTAGGGAATGTCCTTTCGAGGGTCTCACTCCCGAGCGCGTGTGCGCGCGAGAGGGAAAATGAATAATTAGACAACAGTTCCATGAAATCACTTACCGAAAAATTAGCTGCCCATTAAAGGGGAAGCGGTGAGGAGCAATCATGTAAATCCTACCTACACCCAACTGTAGAGGGGAGGCAGCGAGCCTGACTCCCAGCCCTGCGGCTGGCTGCTGGCATCGCCGTCCCCATCGCCCTACCCCGGGAGGAGAGAGAGAGGGACGCGTGGGTGTGGAGCGCAGTGGTTTAGTCCACACCCCGCAGCCTTCCTTCCCCAGGCAGCCTCGGGAGCCGCGCTCATTCTCCTCCCTCTCCCTGCCAGCCGGTGTGTCCGCGGCGGCGGGAGGCGGAGGCGGCGGGAGAGGAGGGGAGAGAGGAGCGGAGCGAGGACAGGAGCGCGGAGTCCGGGGCCGCCCGGGAGAGCCGSGGCGGCGGGAGAGCCCCAACTCCCCGCAGCCCCCGCCGCCGCCACCGCTCGGCACAGCCGCGGCACCGCGCCGGGGTCCTGCCCTCCGACAGTTCCCGCTCCGCTGCCAGTGAGGAGGGACGTGTAGGGGRCACGGCTTTATTTTTTCCTTTTTATTACTATTATTTCTTTTTCTTCTGAGGGGATGCTGAGAAAGCAAGGCGTTCCCCTCCCGTGTAGCACATTGCCTGGGCGTTCCTATTATGGAAGTTAAGTGAGAAACTCTGCAGCTTGAACTGATTTGGGGAGAGAAAGGGAGAGAGAAAGGGGTAGGGGGAGGGCGAGAGGAAGGCAAAATAGCCGACCCAAACCAATGGTTTTCTTGCAAAGTGCCGGGAAGTTTGTGGAGCACTTTCTAGGAATCAGGTCCTTTCTCAGAGKCTCTCCTTGTCTTCCGAAGAAAGAGCTGGCTTTTGGATTGCCATGGATCCTAAAGAGAGTCTTAGAGACACTTGAATAATTCCTCTGCTTGGGCTGGATTGGTGGGAATTTAGGAAGGAGCGTGTGTGCAAAGCAGAAGCCTTCGGAGCTCACTCGCTGCTGCTCTAATCTGTATGGATCTAAAAGTGTCACATTCAAGACCTTTGCAACTCCAGCTTTTGAATTGAAGATTTCCCTTTCCACTTTAAGTAGCTGCTAGGAAACTGAAAACTTTTGGACCTACCTCTTACTGGCTTTGGATACTTTTTCC